GGGAATGTATTTTATATCTCGCCCTTGCATTCATATTATAATTTGTTCCACCTCCGGCCATGTTATTTAGTTACGCACTTACATCGTAAAAATGTCAGAAACTATGGTGTTGATCCCCGCGGGACATAGTGCCTCCACTCATACGAGTAGGAGTACATGTTTATCATTATTTCTCCTCACTTTCCAGACCCTTTTGCGTTTCGAGAAAACGTTGCGTGAAATACTACCCCGCAGCAATGTCTAGGCGTTGGCGTGAGGGAAAAAAAACAGTAAGGAACTTCCACAGAAAGAACTTTTCCAAATTAAAGGCAGAAATTTAAAGAATAATGCAAAAGTTGGCTTTTGGGATATAAATTTATATGCGTATAAAGATCGGCAGTTGTTGTTGGCAATATTATGCTTTTTACTTGATTTTTTGGGTATTTTATCAATGTACAAGCCATTCAGCATTAATGTTGAACCACTGCAGGAGTTTAAGGACATTAAAGTTCAGTAATGCTGTTAAAAGAAATCTGAAATTCTTCAGGTCCGCATTATTGTTCGAAATTAAAGCGTATTTTACAATGATAATCAAATTAAAATAAATTCAACTCACCTTTTTATAAATATTTCACGAAAAACCTTCTCTTCATTTTATAACATTTTTTTCATAATCTTGCATCGTTCTTCTTAGAAACGCGATAAGAGAGAGAACGCGACCCGCACAACAATTACACACGAAACGAAACGAAACGAAACGACGACAGAAAAGCATTGGGAAGAAAAAAAAAATTTCATAATTTGATTAATATTTCATATGGGTATAAAGACCATAGGAACTTTCACGCACTTCACCGATTTGTAAACATTTATTTGTACCTTTAACATTTGAATTAAATGAGCAGATTCCAATAAGAGCACGCATTGTCAGTGTATTAACATAAGAAGAGCCATTGCAAAGAACACTCCCACGCCACTCGCACAATTTGATCGCCCAAAAGAGAGCGAGAGAGTGAGAGAGTCAAACTTTCATCTTCACCTTCAATTAAGACACTTGCTGCTGCGCTTTACTGCAAGAGTGCTCTCTGCAAAAGAAGAGCCACTTCGCGCTCTTCTTGCATTCTCTTATCGGTTGACACACGCACACACAAAAACAAAAAGAATGTAAGACACCTGTGACCCGCATGGTACTGAGGGTGCTCCGCTGCCCTTTCGCTGCATTTACGTTGTATTTGCACAAGAAAAGAGTCAAAATACACTTGTTGCCCTGCACTTGCACATTTTCAGCTGGGATCTACCAATGTTCTTCCATTTTTTCTTTTTGTATGCCTTTTTTCCGTCTCCGCACCACACACACGCACATTTTCTTGGATTTATCACTTTAAAGTCAGGTTTTTTCATATTTTTCATTGCATTACACTAACAAACATTGTGTGACAACTTTTCCGAATGATTTTCACAATTTTCCCGCTTTTCACGACCCGAAACCGGCAAAAGAACGCGGAGCAGACTGTGAACGCGCGCAAATGGAAGTTGGAAATGTAAGAGAGGGGAGTGGAGAGAGGAGAGCAGTGTAAATGCGTGGGCAGCTTAAAGCTCGCGCATTCATGCTCTCGATGCTCGCTGCAAGGTGGTCGACTAACTCTCTTTTGGATATTACTTTACGCTCAGCCCTACCGAGAGCGCTTTGATGGCATGTTTGATGAGAGAGAGAGAAGAACGAAGTTCAAGAGCAAGTTGATGGAGCTTGCTCATCTCATTGACAATTAACATTTCTGCTCATTCCCCTTCCCCTCTCTATCCCTCTGCTAATGTAAAGTATAAAAGCGAAGGTGTTGTGCGCTGCTATTTGTAATGTAAAGCAGACTGCAACTGGGGATGTATGTAGTTCAAATAGAATTGAATATTTTCTATAATATTATTAAAAATCAATCATAAATCAATTATTAGTTTCCAAAACAGCAATGATATATGAAACTTTATCTTAATGTACGGAATATATGTGGAATGTGTGTGGAATGTGTGTGGAATGTATGTGGAATGTATGTAATCGAGTGCATGGATGTTTGTGCAGATGCAGCCATGTAAAAAGATCAAGTGTAATGTAATAAATAGTGTAGAAAACGTTGAATTTTGAATACTTTTTAGAATATTAACAAATAAAACGTCATAATAGTGCAATGCAATGCACACAACAACTGACTATGCACCATAAAATGTTGAATGTAACCATTTTTGTTTAGGAAACCTTTGGCATTTGACTAATGATTCGAAATGCCAGAGATTATGAAGTCTTGTCGTCGCTAAAATTAGATTGTCAAATTTGAGAAGGGTTCTGGCACTTCAAGTATATACTTGACTGTCACGCCGCAATATGAACATCATTTATATTAAGCCGTAGAAATTTGTCACTTTCCAAACGAGAAATGCGTGGCCCCCCCTCGGCCATGGAATCTCTATCCTCCCAAACCTTCATTGAATCCACATTTTGATAATTTCCCTTTCTATTTCGAATGGTTTTTGTTTTGTTTCTCAAGTTGAATGCTCTTTTGGAACTTTTTCAATATTTATTTCCAGTTTCAAATGGTTATCAGTTTCCCCCCCCGTTTTTTTCGGTCCAGCAGTGGCATCCTTCCTGCCCGGCTTCCTGCTTCCGGGTACACACCCCACAAACGGTTATTGTTCTTTTGCTGTTGCTCCTACCATTATTTATATATATGTTTGGATCTGTGGTCAAACTTTGCTGCCACTTGCTGGCTGGTATATAAACTGCTTCTAAATTGCTTTGACCAAGTTGATTCCTGCCTGCGCCTGCCAGCGCCCACCCGCTGACAAGATTTTCACTTCCGCATAAGAAAAACTCCGGCCAACAACTTTCCGTTCCATTGTTTTCTTCAGCAACTTGCTCTCCGTCTCTTTCCCACCTCCTGTTCAACTGCTCTTCTATCTGGAGATCCTAACTTCCACGCCTACTCCCTGTCTCCTGCTCTCGGCTCCTTCAACATTTCCTCTCAAGTGCACGCAAAAGTTGATTTATTGTTTTGTATTTTTACAACTTTTGACTGCAGTTTTCCCTTTTCAATTTTATTGTTTTTTTTCCCCCCTACAACTCGTTCATTACTTTTGTTGCCTTCCATTCTCTGGTCTGCTCAATTATTATTAAAATATCTTCAACTCTAACTAGTGGGATCTGTGTTGCTTTTTGTTCCTCTACTGGAATATACCATTTGTATTCCCCTACCAGCCATCCACTTGTCTATTGTCAATCACAAATACTCAATCACGGGAGAGAGACCCTGCTAATTAATTTCGTTTGCTGATTTGGGGGTTTTTCACAAGACAGAGACAGGGACACAGGGACAGGACTATCAGCACAACAATTCATCATCATCATCGTCGTTGCCATCACGTAGCTAGTCTCTGGGAGACGACATCGAAGAAGGACATGTGGGGCAGTGCAATCGAAAAACCATTTTCTATTTTGTATTCCCCAGTGTCAACACAGTGTTTGTGCTGCTCGTATTTAAACAATAGTTGTCCCTGGCAGCACAGGACTGTGGCCTGTAGGGCTGCAGCCCGCAGACAATTGCTTGGGATTGCATTTGCCCATCGAGGCGTACATTACATTGCATAAAGGACCAAGCCAAGGCGAGGCTCCTCCGAATGGTTTCAAGTGCAATGCAAGAGACCACAAGACAAGACACGGACATGCCCATGGAACAGACAGACCATCAGATCGTCATGTCAGTGGGGCCAGGACAGGGACAGGGACAGGGACAGAGACATTTAAATGGTCCTTCTGGTTGCTCCTTCGTCCTGCTGGTCTTGCATTAATTAAAGATGCGTGGCATTGTTGGTCGCCCCCTGCCCACCCACCCTACCCGCTCATTGTGTTTTGAATTAATGTCAAAGGATTCAAGTAATTGGGAGGGAGCGCCACCTTTCCTCCCTCTCGCTCCTCTCTGGAAATTAGCCGGGCTGACAGTCGACAGATGATTTGTTCCTATTCAGCAGGACAACAGCAGCTCTGTGTCCTGGCTGACAGAAATCTCCTATTAATCAGATATGAACGTTATGTTTGGCTGGAGAAACCCCAATCCCTGGATACTGTCTATCAAAGGGATAGAGAATATGTATTTTCTTTGGAAGTGCAAGAGAATTTTTGGATATTTTAAGAAAGGGATTCTAAGTATCAGTTAGGAATCAGTCAAATGAACTAATTATCTTAGCTAAAAGTCTGTAAAGGTACACAAAAAACACACATATATGAAACTATATTCGAATTTCCTTTTTTCCATCGATCGTTCTTATGAAAGCCATAAGAAATATTGCTCAGATTTCGATGAAATCTTTCTGAGATATGTAGAAACATATTGTCCTACAAATGCTAACGTTTGATTCAAATATCTGTAGAATTTAAAGGCTTTTTTCCTTACTTTGGATTCCTTAAGTGATTCTTTCTGTGGTAGATTTATGATATAGAGGTCCAATCGGAATGATTCAACCAAATAATGCTTCCATTTATAAAAGAAGATATTTTGGAACGATTTTCTTAAAATAAGATACAAAATAATCGTACTGTTGCTTTTTAAACCGGTTGTTCCTATACGGCTAGATTATATAGCTGGCTGATCCCTTTAAATAATTTACCTACGCATACAAAAATAATATTTCATTGAGAGCTGAGAGATTAGTTTCCACAAGGATATATCAATTCGGTTATTCATACCGATTCGGAATATTTCTAATCTGGGTTACAAAACCATTTCAAGGAGAATACAAAAGGTATCAGAAAAGGATTCAAAAAAGTGCATAAGATATGGATGCTACCCTTGGTTTCAGATGAAACGTTTCTAAGATAAAGTATGATCATAAGCTAAGAGCAATTCTCATGATCGGAATACAACAATTTTATAGAACATGTCCATCGTAAAGTACATAATTTTCTTGCCTATAATCTTCACTTAATTTATGCTTGAAAATACAATTTTAAGTTTCTAAAATATATATATTTATTTATTTAAAAATAGGCGCAAAAAATATGAAAAACATTAAATATATTACGACTAAATTCTATTAAGGAATATGTGGGCGTAAGGATAGGTGGAGGTACATAAAAACACATGTTTGTCTTGCCTGTCTATGCTGGGGCTGCTGAACGGAATACCAGGCAGGCTATCGTGGGAACAGAACCGAAACAGAACGAATTAAGTAGAATACAAAATAATACTTAGATCCGAAAGTACAATCATAATTTTCTCTTTACACAAATTCGAATAAGTGATAAATTCGAAGGTTTTTTTCGTAGAGCCTTTGGGGGGAGAAGCTTGATCCAAGAGGGATCCTAGGGGAGAGATGCTGCCTGTAATACTTTCTATCGAATCTGTTTTTTGTGAGGCCTTTTTTGGTCAGCCTTCAAAGTATTGCTAGTAAAATTGTTGTCGTATTTATCCGTCGTCTGTCTCATGCAATAATCACAGCTTTAATTGGTATCTTCTGACTCGTTTTTTCTCCTCTCAGCATTAATCGATTCTAAGTCGCTAATTGTTCTATACAAAAATAATTTATTCAATTCAATCCATTCAAGAGCGCCGGCATTCTCCATGTCTCTGCTCGAATTCATTCCTTGGGCGGGGGACTGGGTCTTCTAATTCTTTAAGGTCACTTAAGTACGTTTTTCGATTCGATACAAGTGAATATTGAAGATTGATTATGATGCATTTGATCCTTGATCAGTGTGTGTGTGTCTGTTTTGCCCTTAGAATGCCATACGGCTAATCATTTGGCCAGAAAGGCGGCCTTTAGCTTTTGATATTCCAGAATTCGAGCAATGCCGTACTCCTAGGAAAAGAAATAAGGAGTCAAATTAGATATTTCTGCAAGGTAGTTTTAAGTTAAGGAAGCATTGCATTCACTCGTTAATTTCGAGCGAGTAGACTTCTCGTTGGCATTGATTCCTTAACCTTACTTCTATCGAAAAACCTACCCAATAACCAAACTCTATGGCTGATGTCACATTAATCACCGACCACAGGCTCCAGAACAGATGCGACATCATCGTAAAGAACTGTATCTCGGAGTCCACATTCTCCAGCTCTTGTACCGTGGGATTATAGTTCTCATCATCGTGATATTTCTTTAGATAATTCACAATGAAATCGCGTCTCTGCTGGGCGGTGGCATAGTTGCTTGTATTGTGATGAAAATATGGGAACTGCGGATTGGTATAGTCAAAGGTCCATTCGATGAAGTGATTGGCCAGATCGTAGCCACGATAGTTATAGGCACAGTACTCAAAGTCAATGATAATAAGATCCGGCTCATTATCGTTGGTGAAGCTGGTGTCCAGGGCTGAATCATCGGTGGTGTCCAACAGTTCGGGACAGGACGAGGACGAGCTGTGCGATTTGCTAGAGGTTGTAGGAAAACCATCGAGGGGTTTTTGCAAAGTTTAGTTTAGGATTCAAAAGTGAATGTCATGTGGATAACCTGTATTTTGTTTGCTTTTGGCCAGCACATATAAATTTTACAACAGCAAAAATTGTCTCCATCTAGAATTGTAGGGTAGTTTTATATGGGCAGAGAGCATGTACGGTATAGGCCAATATATTGCAATAGGAGTTAGTTACTGGTTAGAGCGGCCAACAACAAAATACACGGGTTAGCAGCTCAACAGATCCGTTGGTCTACTTACTTGACTTCTGGCTCCGACAGATTGCTGTTGCCATCCAAACTGTCGCCCAATGTCTCATCGAAATTGGATCTATCAAATAAACAATCGATTAATACAAGTCTCCTGTGGGAAATCAATCAAACATCCTCGTACCTCAAGCTACTGATGGATTCACGAGGCGTACGCTCTGGTGTCGCCTGACGCAACAGTATATTTCCCTCCTGCAGGTCGTTGTGGCAGAACACCACGGGATATTCCCCGCTCTCGATCACCGATCTCAGCCATGCTATCTCCTGGACATAGTCGATGGTGCGCATCAGTTCCCTTTGCTTCTGGAGCACTGCGGAGTCCGGTTTCGATTGGATTTTGCCCTTGACAATGCTCTCGAAGCTGGTCACCCAACGCTGCATGCAATTCCAGATCCAATCGGGTTCCTTGGACATGGGTATATTCAGGCTGTGGATTTCACCCATTTTCTCTGCCACTTTCAGTAGGATACGCTGTTCGGCCAACTCCGCTGTGGCCAAGGCACGTGCCTGCAAGCAAAATGGAGATTTATGTTAAAAACTAAACCAATTTGTGTCCTTAAGTCCCCTGCATACCGGTAAGTATTGCTCGATGCGTCCGCCGGGAAAGATGCCATGCAGTTTGGGTCCAAAATTACGCTCACTGAGCAGTGCAAACACAACCGATTCGGTAATCATGCTCTCCAGCGCATGATCTCCATGGGTTTGGCCATAGATACGCAGCAGGACCTGCAAAACGATGCAAACGATTAGACATTCAAGAGGGCGGGGCCTGGTCTCTCCGTGCGCATGGACCTACCTCACGGGGTTCCTGCTTGGGGGCATGCAATCGTTTCAATGAACTCGAATCGCCGCTATCGCTATCGAATCGCTGACGTTTGTGCGCCTGCTTGGCGCTCGTGGCTGCGTCGTCATCGTCTGCCGCCCCACCCACGGACTCGGACTCCACCTCCACCCCATTGCGTGCAAAGTCTGGGCTATTTTTGGACACGATATTTGTGGCGCCGGCATCGACAACTATGACGTTGTCTTTGGCAACATGGCCATTCGCCTGCTGCTCCAACAGTCCCTGCTCTTCGTTCTCATTCTCATCCGCATCCGAATCGGGCAGACTCACGTAATACAAAAAGTTTGAAAGACCGCCACTAGAAAAAAAGGGATTTCGAGTTATTTTCAAGCAAAGATTTGACTGGAATTTATGGCACACACACCTGATGCGTTTCACCACCAAAGATTCGGGGGTTACGACCTTCCAGCGACCGGTTAGATAGTCCCGACAGATGCGTGCTGCCGCATGGCGAATTTCCTCAAGGGTTGCCTAGAACAGAGAGAGTACAACAATTACTATCGGAGAGAGAGCTGGGAAATAGAGAGAGGCAAAGAGAGAATTTTTGCATGCGAATCGACAAAACAATTTTTTGGCCCTGGGGGCTGGCACTGGGGGCTGCTGTACTAAAAATACCAAAAATCCATTCTCGTGTGCTAAAATGCAAATGCAATTAGTGGCCCCAGACGACAGGCATGACAAATATACGAGTATATTGATTGAAAACAAGGTAAGCCAAGGTAACCAAAAACAATTGCATTTTTAATCATTATTGATTCAACTAGGAAGTCACCGCAAGGTAATTTTAAACTAAGTGCAGTATTCCAGTACCAAAATCGTTCCAAGAAATAGCTATTTCAAGTTCTTATGATGCCTGTTCTAGTATTTTTATGGAATTACCTAGCAATAATGATTCTAAAACTGTTTGCAAAGATTATAAAATAAGTATTCCAGTACATCAAATGTTGCTTATAAGTTCTTAAAGTATTTTTATGGAATATACTAGCATTTTATGATGAATAATGATTCTAAAACTCTTTTTAAATATTATAAAATGTTTAAAATACCAGAAACAAATATTAGAAGTATTCCAATATATAAAATGTTTGCTTATAAGCTCCCGTTTTTGTATTTTCATGGAACATACTAGAAGTTTACACAAATAATTGCTCTAAAAACGTGCTAAAACTGATTTCGAATATCAGAAAACGTATTACAAAAGTAAACCCATGCATAAACTATACAAATTCTTAAAAATATTTATATTAAGGATTATAACATAAGATAAAATGTACAAAAACTGATAAACCCTATAAAATTAGTCAATTAAAATACCTTTCACCAAAAAAGAACCATATTTAAACCATATATTACATGATAAATAACTCTTACATTTCGCTTAAAATGCTGCCAAATATTATCATATTTACAACGTTTACTTAGACAACAGTTTTCAACAATTTCCTGCTGCTGCTCTTGGCGACGTTTTAGTGTTTTATTGTTGCCACAAATTCGCTGTCTCATGCTACGCGTATTTTGTATAGTTTACAGATATGAAAATATACCGATTAAACAGACACGATATACAATATATAAATGGTATTATATAAATCTGACAAAATAGTCGCAAAGGCACACCACAACAGGAATTTTGAGTTATATATGTAGTATAAAACGGCCAAAAAGAGAGTATTTTTCAGTTGGATTTTCAGCAGCGATTTGTTCTTCACATCTGGGCGGACAAAAACAAACTGAGTCATCGAAAGACGTCGACCCAGAGCATGTGAAAACTACTTATAATACTCGCTCTTTCCCTCTCTCTGTGGCACTCTCTCTCTCTGCATGAACTTTCTACAGTGGTTGTTGCTGTTGCACCACCATTAAAAATCAAACCACCACCGGCCGGCCACGGGCCACCCCCTTCTGACGTGGTTGCCATAGTAAACATATGCTTCCTTATAGACCCAGAGGTCCTTCCTTCCTCCTACACTCATTCACCTATAAAATTATATAAAACTTCACTGAAATGTCGAAAGAAAAGGCCTCAAAAAATGTAGATTCCTCTCAATTTTGGGCCAAGTGTAGGTAGACACCTTTGCATCTGAGATTTTCAACAGATGTTCCTGCGGCACCGAAAAATACCCTTGACGTCAGGTAGAAAATAGTTTGAAACGTGTCTGGTGTCTGCTGTCTGGGGTTTGGGCCATAATTGCTTGTAATTCTTTGTCATCGACAGATAAGATTAATATTTAACCACACACACACCTGTCGGTTGGTAATCTCTTACCATATACTATACACATATACGAAGCCTTGTGGCAAAAGGTGGGGTTTACATGGTCAAGTAGACTCGATTATTGCATCTCTCAACAGGAAACAGATTATTTAATATTTGCACAGAACATTCAATGGCGTTCGTTGAACCCGTTCTCCGAGATACGAATTTCATATATAGAATGTATTTCAAAAAGAGAGTATTTTCGGGGCATATCCTGGCGAGTTAATACATTTTGTAAGAATTTATATAATAAAACCATAATTTTTACCTAAATATCTTAGGTATTTCCCAAGACCCATTTTGTAACAACTGGGTTTATTTGTACCCCCAAGAGCAAAGCCCAACATTAATCTGCGATGATCCAGTTTTAGAGGCAGCTGCAACTCTCGTCTAATCCATGGAATTTTCCACGCAACATGAAAATCTTCCATTCCATTGGACTTCTATTTACAATAAAACGCAGAGTACGAGCAGAGTCGCCCGTCGCAGCCGGACCAAACCTCTTATCAAGTTTTGATTGCCGTTTCAGGCCGTTGTTTTTGTGTCGAAGAAACTCGCGGTGGCATTACATACTATCATGTAAATAACTAAGCAAATCAAATCTATTAATAACTAAGCAAATCCATGACTACAAGAAAAATGGACATGGGGGAAAATCGTAATAGACAATATCTCATTTGGGGCTTTGGCCAAAAAAGTGTGCGCCTCAATTGGCTGTTGCGGGGCCTTATCATACGCATACATAGTTGCGTAGCAGGTTGTTATCAGCAAACTATAACACTATATAGGAGTGCTAAATACTTAAACCACTTAGCACTAGGCGCTGCAATAAATTAACTATTTGCCTGAATTTATAGATCTAATATTTTGTTAAATGCTGAATCAGGCAGTCGAAGAGTAAAAAAAAAACAGATAAAATTCCTCAGTACTTAATTCCCAGGAATTTCGCAATATATATATATTTTCTTGATACTTTTGAGCCCTCCTAAGCACTATATAGGTCACATTTTGGGGCTGATAACCTGAATAGCCGAAAAAATACACATTTCATTTGATTAGATTTCGCATTCCAGCTACTTCCTTCCTCGAAATACTTGCCTGGCGTTTATATAATCATTTCAAGATGGCAATAAATCGTTAATTTTTCATTTAATTTGTTTTAATCTAAACCTTACTACTATTACGTCAGTTTAAAGTACTTCAAGATATAGAGACCATGTGATTTGATGTACATTCAAAGAAAAAAGCGTTGCCATTTTAATATTTAGTCTTAAATAAAAAAATATATATGAATTAAATAAAATAATAAATGTAAATTATATATTACTATTTACTATAAGATTAAAGATTATATTATGTACACTATTTAAATCAAAGTAAATTATATTTCATTTTAAAATGTTTTTATTTAAAAAGTGAATATTTATGGGCGTTTCGATTTACAACGCCATTTTTCTCTGAGTGTTGGCATGCCATAAAAAACATTGTACCCTTTGTTTGCGTATGAATCATATGCAGTTATGATAAATATTAAATATAAAAGAAATAAAAAGAAAAAGAATAAATGTAAAGAACCCCAATTTTACAGATAGTAATAATCCCTCGGAATAATGGGATTTAAAATTATCTCCATTTGCCCATTAAACTTGAACGAGGCACAAGGGTGATTATAAACCCATTTGCGAATACGGGAAGGTCTCGTGCAAATGAGTTACCCGTAAAACCCCTTTGGGAAGTACCCAGTTCCAGTGTTCCAGTTGTTGTTGTGATGATTTTATAGCAAACCGATAACCAAACGATCGTGTGTGTAATACTAAAACCCATTACATTATTCATCTGAAACCAAATTTGAACTGCGCAACAGTACGAGTTAAAGCCGCAACACGTGAGACGATGACTCTGTCTAACCGCAACAATGTCGTCGGATCTATTCCCTACTTCTCGTAAATCCACAATCTACTCGTAGTCTGTCCTGAACGAACCCACTTTCGGTCACAGAGCAAAGAAATTCGCGTAGTAAAAAAGGAAACAGCGAGAGATTATTACTGATAAGACAAAAAACCTTGTCGTGTTTTATAAAAGAGTGTGGCGTCAATGTACGAAGAGGCAATCGGCCAATGGCGATTATAAATGTTTCTGAACGATTGCGGATCTCCAGGGAACGTGCAAAATCAACAACGTGTTTTTATTTCTTTACCAATGAAAGGAGACTTGAGAGACATATGAATACACTTAGTATATGCTTTGTATATAAGGTGGATTTATTTCATGATAAGAACTATTCGGATCCGAGATAAAACTTCTGGGACTAAAACTGTTAAATCAAACTTGACAGGCACTGATAAAAACAGACTACTAGGGTGTCAAAACTTCGCAACATTCCATCGAAATTCAAACCAAATCGAATCTGCATACACAAAAGCTCTACCACAACAACAGACACCGGTCAAGGTACGAAACGAAAGGTGTGGAAAAACGTGGGCAAAACACACGCACACTGCCACACAGCGCAATGCATACAGAGAGGAGAGAGAATCGATGCATGCAGTCTTTGACTTTTGCCGCTTACAAATATTTCGCAAGCTTTTCTTATGTATCACTCGTTTGAGTGGCTCTTACCGTTTGCAAGTTGCTGGACATCCTCTTGTCCTCTGTTCTTTGCAATGTTTATCTTATTTGCCAATTCCTGTACTACGCACACGCACACACACAAACCCACTGTTTATAGGTAACACGCGCCAGGCCAGGCAGAGCACTTCAACCGTTCGTTCCCCTTGACGTCACTCTTAATATTAAATATAGTTACAACAACAAGAAACGGTACGTTCGAGTAATAATAAAGTAATAGCAAGTGCTCTTATATGCGCGTATTCAGTTTTCAGTTAACAGTTTCGTTTCGTTCCACAGGAGTTTTTTCCACGTCCACTCGCGAGTACGATTTTATTCCGACTGTGACTTGTTGATCGGTGCTACTAGCTAACACAAATCGCGCTCTCTTTTAGCCGTGCTTGCTGTCTTATCATTTTTTTTACATTTTCTTTGCAATGCAAATTGTTTTTGCCCGGGTTGACTGTGGAACTTGTTTGAATTTATAAAGTAAAGTTTGACCTAAAAAATACCGAAATTATTTATTTCGTCTTGTTTGTTGTAAAATATTACAAAATTTGAAGTATAGAATTGCGAATGTTTGATTGAGCTGTCGAAAAAAAAAAATCTGCCCATTCATTAAACAGCTTAAGCTATTTTTTATTATTATTTATTTTTAAATGCGTTGTATTATTGACTCGGAACCAGTTTTTTGTTTACTATTTATATCTATTTCAATGTGTTTACAAACTATTTGTTCTTGAAGAGAAATATGTGTCTTTGGCCCTTTTCTAGGTCGAAGACGTTGTTCAATTTTTATGCCTATGAAAGCTTAGAAAACTCTAGACGTGAACAAGAGCACGAACGCATAGCGATAAAATATACAAAGTTATCGACCGTTTTTTTTTAGTTTACTTTCAAAATATTATCGTATTGCAACGCTGCACTGTGCCACGCAGAGAGCTGTTAAGCGCAAAGCCTTAGATTGCTGTTAGCTCGCTGTAAGCTTACGTTTTTATAAATTATAAAATAATGAATTTTTATAAATACTTAAATGTTTTAAAAATAGTTTACACTTCTCGCAAGTTAAAAGATTTAAGGGCAATTGAAAAAATAAATATCTTACCAACCAAATTTGGTTAAGGAAAGAAGGCCGAAAGCTTTCTTTTGAGTGATTCATACTCTCCAGGCGCACAATATTCAATTCGATCATGTCATTGATATTTTGGTAGAAAAAAGAGCTTTTTCTAGAAGGTTCCTCCTGCCTGAGTCACGACACCGACCCACATTTAAATTCTTTGTACTACCTCTAATATTTCAGTCACGACTGTAACCGCTCTGCTTAAAAGTACAGTTCGGTTCGCACATCTACGACTGTACGTTTTCCAGTGAGATTTTCTTGGAAATGGCTGGAAAAGGTTCCGATTCGGAGAATAAAAGATTTTCGGGCATTTGAATGTTTCTCTTCCATTTATTTTTGAATGTTCTCGAATGTTTTTGTTTGTCTGAGTCTGGTGCTGTTCTCAGCCCGTCTTAACGGATTTGCTTGTGGAAATGGGTTTTTCATTTAGCAATTTTACATTTTAATTACGATTTTCCTCATTCACATTTTACTTTAATTATTTCAATTCGTGTTTGCCTCAGTGTTTTGTCTATGGTTTGGTCTGCTCTGGTTTCCACTGGTTCGCTCGAAACCAATGACAGTTACGTTACTCGAAATTGGACAAATTAGTAGGTTGGCTTTAAGTACGCCCCAGAAGAACACCTCTTTCTGAGCGCAAATACAAATGGAAAAAAAAGAACCATTAGAAGACTTGGACACGCCATTAGTCTAGTAATTACGTATAAAAAAAAGAACTTTATATATAGTCACGGCAACATTTCCTTTTTTTTCTTATTTTCTTTCGTTGGAACATGATTTCCCTTCTGTATATAAAATTGGGAGGGGGGTTGTTGTGTTTCAACGGTTTTGATTGCTACTATATAAAAATGTAATTTCTTATCCGGTTTTATTGTTTCTATATATACGAATTTTTCTCAAGTTCTTTTTTTTTTCTTTTGCCAGCGTTTGTGTGCGGGGGGCGTGGCAGTTGGCTGTTTTCGCAATTGTTTTTGAACTTGATATATATATATATATATATAAATATTAATAAACATTATAGGATCGTACCAGTAAAATTAGGAGAAGAAAAAATATGCTTATGCTCTTTTTTTGTCACATGGTCTTATATAATGGGGAGGATTTTCCTTTTGCTTCGTATTTATTACAATTATTAAATGACGCTTTTCGTTTACAACTTTATCTTAAAACATAGAGGGGTTCCGTCTCGCCATCTTACTTTTGCTTGTTCTTTCTTAATCGTTTGCTTTATATATATATATACGTTTTTTTAAAGTTAAGTTAAGTAAGGTTTTTAAATGATAATGGATTTTCTTCATCTTAATTTTTGTTGGTTGTTTTGTTTGTTTGTTGGTTTATTTGTTAGTAGAGAGACAGACAATCGGGACGCTTTAAGACTACGCTCCCATTGCAGGATTTTTAAAGAGAATTGCGCGCCCGAACCCCCCGCACGCACAAGCACACTCGAGCGCTCCAACCAAACATGTGTCAAACGTTATCAAGCTTGCCGGTACCCACAGAGGTGTGCGTGTGGGGGGAGCGGGCGTTCATTTGTGTGTTCGTGTGTGTGTGTGTTCTTGTTTAGTGTTAGTAAGTAATTTATATGTACGAGTAATGTGTGTGTACGGCGGCTGGTGCAGACCGGGAACGATACGAAGCACCATTTAGGCAGCCACTTCGCTGGCCTCGGCACCGTTTTGAACCTCATCCTTTGTGCTGGCCTCGTCCAGCTTCGCCTTCTTCTCGGGGGTGGCAACGGCCTCATCGGCCTTGGCGGAGGCCTCATCCACCTTCCGCTTCACTGCCTCGACGACGGGCGCGTCTGCAAGTCAAAAGGGAAAACCAAAAGTTAGCATTCGCTGGAGAGCGGGAGAGGGGAGGGGGATTTACACACCTGTTGAGTCACCGTTGGCTGCTTCCTCGGCTCCGTTCTCAACAGCAGCGGGTGCTGCCTCGCTGCTCTCCTTGGCCTCATCGCCGGCGACTGCCGCCTCCTCGTCCTTCTTCTTCTCCTCTGCAGCTTCGGCGGCAGGAGTCTCAGCAGCCTTCTCGCCATCAACGGCATCGGCGGCGACTTTCTCGGCCTTATCGGCAGCGGGGGCAGCAGCACCGTTCTCCTTGGCACTGCTCTCCTCATCGGCGGCACCGTTCTCTGTGGTGGTTGGCTTCTCGACGGCTGCTTCGTCAGCAGCGACGACAGCATCCTTCTTCACGGCATCGACTTCCTCAGCGGGCACCTTCTCGACAACAGGGGTCTCACTGTAGACGAAAGAGAATAATAAATTAGTGATTTTCCCCAAAAAAGAAGTTCCTGCATTTCATACAACTAAAACCAGAAAATTTTCCATTCAACCCAAGCGGCCGGCGAACGGTTATTTTGTCCCCACCCTTCTCTTTTTTGAAGCGCTTCCGCGTCTTTCAACCCACCCCAGGACGCGGCCGAACACACAGCACGGCACACATCATTGTAACATCTGCCGACGACGACGCCAACGCCGGCAGCGCTGCCGTAAAATGATAAATGGGAGCAACAACTCGTGCAAACTGCGACGCAAAAAAGAAACGAGAAAAAGGTGAGCGCCATTTGGCAGCGTGCTCTTTCATATATAAAACAAATATATATAGTACACAAGTATATGTACTGGTATATATTCGGGTTTTTTTCTTGTTTTATTAGAATCATCACGTACACTCGCAACTATTATCCAAATGGGAAATTTGCATTTCCAATCTTTTGATCGTGTTACGATTGTGCATTCTTTCAGCGAAAACCGATTTCTCGCACCTCGAAATGGATCACCCTGTTACATGCATAAAGTGGGAAACATAAAAGAGATGCTTGCAAAAAGTAAAAAGCGCGACTTGTTTGAAATAAAACGAACGAAAAAAAAACTGGTTTTTATGCGGCGCGCACACAAGCCATACATCCGTCTCGCTTGCGCGCACTTATCAGCAGTTCAAATGTGCGCGCGTCACGTAGCAGAAAGAGCGGCAGAAAGGGAAACAAGCATAGCAGGATGAGTGAGAGGGAGGGAAGCACTGCAAGCAGTAAGAGTCAGAAAGCATACAATGAATAGTGCGAGAGCGAGAAAGCATGGTGTAAAATGTGCAAGGCAAAAAGGAAGGGACACAAATAACGGTCAACAGCACATACACATGCCGGCATAAAACACCCACTATGCTACTTTCAACCCCCCCCTTCCAACTACACAACCTAAGACAACAGACAAAAGATTTAACGGGGTTTTTCTGCTCTCTTTTTTGTCTCCCCTGTACACTCTGTTGCGACGCAAAAGTTTGAAACAAAAAAAAAAAAAGCAAAAGGCGGCCGGCGTGCCGTGTGATTATTTTAGGCAATGACAAAATACCTGGAAACAACAAAAACTTGAAGCGAGCGAATAGAACAGAGAGAAGAGCAGCAACAACAAGTTAATACCAAGCTTTGAGCTTTAAACGAACCAAAAATTAATGTACAGGCAAAGGCCGCAGCAGCGAAGAACCAAAAGGCAAAAGCAAACAGACAAGTCAGACAAAAAGACAGACGGCTGAAACGGCACGAGAAAAGAGCGGCAACTTGAATACTACACATACATACATACACCTCCATACACTTTTGCGCACTCCGCTTTGAACACACTCAACATTGTACTTCTTGCCTATACTTCGCCACAGCCACCAACAATGCTGCTGCTGCTTCTGCTACTGCCTACACCACCACAACCATCACACACACACAACACAGAGAGCAAGCAAAGTCTCGTTGTCGTTGGTTTGCCGGCCGGAGAATGAGCGAGAAGGCACTATGACGCCGCGCCAAATTCAACGGCGTCGTTTTTTGCGCGCACGTTTACTCGGCATTGGCGCAAGCGAGACAACTGTATTAATGCCGCAAAGCGTATATAGACACAGAAATTCAAAAGAAAATTTTTCCAAACCGTTGCGAGAGAACATGGAAAAAGATGTACACTTGCGAAATTCGAACAGATCCATGCAATTGTTTAAATAAAATGCACAGATGTACAGAACACAGCACAAACAACCAGATAAAACACACACAGAACCCTCTAATCAAATATTACTCACTTTTTCTGCTCAGCCACATCAGCCATTTTGATTTACTGTTGGTTTTGGTTTCGAAAGCGAAGCGCGAAAAACACGTTTAAAATATTGGGTCTCGGTCTACGCAAAACACGACTCGCCGAAATGCAAAAAAACAACACTTGCTTCCAAACAAAATCACCAAATTTTAGAAATTTGCTGCAATTGCCTTTCTCAGTAGCTGAGCTATGAAGTCGTTGACTGCTGGAGATTTTTGCCACAGGAGAACGTCGTCCACAGAAAAAACGCCGAATGAGAGGGCGAAGAGCGTTGCCGGAACTTATATACAGTGCGCGCTCCACAAATAAAAAAAATGTCGCGTCAGTGTGACCGAGGGAAAGTCTGAGCAAATATACCGTCTGACCCTTCAAAATATACCAAAATATACCGTCTCATTTCTAAAATATACCGTTAATATACTGACTAATTCAAGTTCGGTTATACATATTCCTCGTTTTTGATATTCCGTCGAAGATTACTAGCTATATAGAACCCTCAGCCCCGCCCACACAATTTTAACCGACTAATGAACCCATTTTTTACTTGACTGGTTTGTTTTAAATTTAAATTTGATTGTATTTTGACTAAATGCTGACGGTTTTTTAAAACTTGTTTCATGTCACAGGAGTATGGCTATTTGTATACCCTATTCCGTTAATTTTATATACAACATATAAAGAAATTTTCTCAAATTTTTTTGATTTGCTTCCTGTATATCTCGATCCCGATACTCATTCTTGGTAAGAAGACCACTGATAGCTTTAAAACAGAGACTGACTAGTTTCTGCATTAATTAGTGCCTGTGATGACAAACGTTTCCGCAATTCTATAATATCCATTTCCCTAGGGTATGCAGAATGAGACTCAGTGGTGCTACCGATTCACACCCGATTCAAAGAGAGCGAAAAGGAGAGCCTTAACCGATTAAGAGAAAGGAGAAGAGAAGAGCCAAGAGACAGGTAGCCAATAAGGCAATAAAAACAACCGTTCGATTATCGACTAGAGTGGTGCGCGCCAAATATGATATGAATCTAATGTTGTATTCTAACTAAGAAATACTATATGCATCTCAAATCACAAAAAAACCCAATACAGTTGCATCAATCGTAACCATTAGCGAAAGTATTTGCTCTCTTGCGCGAATTTCGTCTGTAGGACTGCTGTGCTGTTTTTGTTACCGGCAAAACAATGAATATGCAAAACTAAAATGGCCCTTCGTTGAATTCTATTCATTTTACCTGAACAACGAGCTGTCCTAAAGGATATTACAGCTTCCCTTTCAACGTTCAACGGCTGGCAGTTGCACCAAAAGACCGAAACCGATGGATTTGGCTGCAGCATCACGTGCCATTGTGCCCGCGCCGGGATTAGTTTTCTCGAGGAAAGAAAACAGGGGATAAAGGACAGATGTTTTAAGATCTCACAAGATGTCTGCGCAATCCCTTGCTGCATTTTCATTTGATTTACTTTTAAATGGAGAAAAAACCTATTGCAAAACATTGTACGTCATTCAGATAACTCCACTTTCGTACTCCGTAGGTGTAACCAAATGGAGTCAACCGGTTTTTTGGGGCTATTGCTATTGCAATCAATCAAAAACTTTTCTACCACTGATCCGGCAAACGGAAATTACAATTTTCCAGGTAGTCAGGTAGTGGCCTTCAGAGCGTTCCGGATCAATTTTGTATAAGAGAGTTTTTGAAGGCGAGGAAGGCAGCTGCTGGCTGGTTGTTGTTTTATTGCCTCGCTGTGAATTTGGTGCACATGTCTTTTATTTTGGGCACCCGGCAATGAATTTCAGCTGCTCTTCTAAATATTAGACGTTGTAAATGTATTTTAGTTCATAAATTGAAGATAATATCACTGATTAAAGTAAGAGAGGGAACTTTTATACTTGTTATATGAACAACATCTATTAACAGTATCAAACTACTGCCATGGGAGCACAGCACACGATTTTGTTGTTCGAATCACCCACATCTTGAGGAAACAAAACATCTTCCGCTTTATTATGCGTTTTCCCCTTACATCTGCACTCAACCACATGCACTTATGGTCCGACACGTACACACACACGCACACAAAACTTACCCTATACAGCTGCACATTTTTCAATGCCAGCCAAGGACAGTGGCAGCTGCAGGCAGGCAGGCCGCCCGCCCCTGCGTTCGTCTGGCGTTACGTTCCGTTCCCGTTGATTGGCATTTAGTGAGAGGCATTAATGTTGCTTTCTAATTAATTTTATGCGCTTGCGGCCATTTCAGGGATTATGATTACACACACTTGCAGAGATGAACTGTAAATGCACAGTTTTGTTATCAAGCTGCACAGCTGTACCGTTATCAGTTGCATGCTGAGAGTCTCTCTCTCACTGTCATGCGCTTACGAAGAGCTTTCCGCGGCAAAGCTCGCTCTTGGAGAGAGTGCCACGCTGCTGAAAGGTCCTTGCTGCTGCCTGCTGCTGCTGTATTGTCAAAAATTTTCACTTAACAATCAGTCAAGTTTATCGTGGCGCCTTAGTTTAGTTGAAAGAAAATTCGCGCTGCGCAACGCGTCCGGACATCGCTGGGGCAGCCCCAGCAGCAGCAGCAGCAGAAAAAAAGTGAACACAACGAACCAGAAATTGGAAAAGGAATAATTAGTGATAATCAAAAAAAGAAAAGTATGGCAAAGAGTGTTCTCTACTGGAAACTTGTGTGTGCGTGTGTGTGTGTTAAAATCTGGGAATGCTAAACGAGAACAACTGTACATGCCTAGTTAACCGTTATCGCAGCCTCCCAAAAAGAAAAAAACCGTGTTGGAAAGAACGAAAGAAAGAGAGGGGGTACTAGGCCGTATCGCTGTACAACTATCTGCCTATCCCTTTTTGGAGAAGGTGTCACTTATTTGGATTAAAATTAAAATCGAAATTTGTGTGCAGTACACACACACACATAGACACGGACACACGGACAGGGGCAACTATACAAACAAAATCAGAACGCATTAAAACGAACCTTGAGCAAATCAACCTTACACACACACACAGACGCAAACCAAAACCAACACATGTACGGGCGACGTAAAGGATTTTCTTTTTTTGTATGCCCAAGAAGAAGAGAAACAAGAAAATACGGCTAGCCTAGAGGGTCGGAGAGTTTGATACCCTACAGGGCATCATAATTACGGCCACTACATATCTCAGATACAATATATGTATGTAATGCATTGTGCAGCAAAAATAAGTATCTGTACGAGATTCCATTGAGATAGCTTTAAAACTGAGGCACTAATTGCGGCGGCATAGAAATAGGCAGATAGAAAGATAGACGAATGCTAAATCGACTCGGCTGTCGAAGCTGATCCAGATTAGAAATACTTTGCTTCGTGCTAAGAAATCTGGTAAAAACATAACACCCTTGAAAAGGGGTATTATAAGAAGCTCCGTTATGTTACACAGTTCGTCCGTCCGTCCGTCCGTTAGTCAGTCGTCGTCGAATTCGGCAATAGGGATACGACAGTCGAATATGAAAAGGAAGCAGAACTGAGCTCCACAACGGCCAGAGGGAGAGGGAGAGAGAGAGAGCCATACAGGAAAGACAGAGAGAGTGAAAACATGGCCACGAGAGAGGGAGCGGGAGCGAGTGTGCACCGTGGTCTGCGCGGGTGTTGAATGTGGTCGAAAATATTCATAATTTATTCAAAAATCTCGTAATAGATAGTGGCATGACGAGGGGTGTGGGGGTGGCATCGAAATGGAATTGGTTGTGGGCAGGTGCAGCCTTCGGCTTGTGCATGAAAATTTGACAAGTCAATTTCAATTTCTGTCCCAAAATAGAAAACTCAATTTTCTCTAATTAACTTCCAGCGGAAATTGGTACTCTACATTCAAGGGGCGGAAAAGTAGGAAATGGAATACTGGATATAGGCTGTTCTGTGAGGATGGTCGGGACTATTGGGTGCATTGGGAGAATTTCCTAGAGCTTGGAACATTTTTCACGTGCTCAAACATTTCTAATTTAATCAAAGAGCTCTGGGCTATCTCCATGCTGGGTCGTTCGAAAGTGTCATTCACTGATAAGAGACTCTAGTCAGGTCTTATCTTAACTTATTTTCGGGGGCACATCCAGTGACCAACGATGTGATTAAAATAAGCGATTTGCTACCCCGCCTTATCAAATGGAAATAACTCAATATATTACCTGAGAATGTCTACATATATATGTAACATGGCTTGACATATCTTTGATTTGCATTTGGTCAACCGCCACCCACTGTACAGAACAGTGAAAAGCTTTTTGCTCGCACAAGGACGCTTCCGCCTCTCCCATCCACTCCCACTCCCGAGCACGAGACGCCACGAGGCAGCGTTAAGTCTTAAATTTACCGTTAAAATTTGTGTTGTGTGAGAGTTTTTATACTGGGATACCTCGTAGGGATCAGAGCATATAATGGAGTACTATTAGCGTTGAAATGTTAGTTAAAAAGGAAGTATTTCCAAAGCCTTCTTTGGGTCTTCGGCTAAAATAAGAACATTTCCTCTCTTTGTATGAATCTACTCTATATGGCTGTTAAATTAAATCTGCTTAGCAGGTATCCGCATAGTCGAAATATCCCCATTCGTCTCCTTCGGATTCTGCTGTTTGAGTTTGAGCTTGGCATTGCTTCTATTTACCCATGCGTCGTGTCGTTTCGTCTCCCAGTTTCCAGACCCCGGCATAAATAAATAAAGACACAAAGCGGCAAACGGAAATGGATGTGCCTCATTCATAAACCAGAGCCTGGACAGGTCGGGTCGGGTGCGCTGATCAACGAAAAGTAAAACAAAAGCCCACTAGCAACTGCAAAAACCTCGCATAAAAAAAAGGAGCGGACGCAACCATGCCGGAGGAGAAGGAAATGTCCGGAAATAATCTGGAAAACGGACAGGCCATGGCCACGGCTACGGCTACGGCCACGGCCAACTCAACGCCAAGCAGGTCCAAGCAACAGCGCCAGAAGACGCCCACAAGGCGGCGTCCCCATGATAGTGATGTGGTCGCTGGAGGCGTTGGCATCACCGGCGGCGGCGTGGTCATCCTGCCGCAGCATGTGCTCAACGAACTCTATCACAACTACTCCATTAAGCAGCGGCGGAGCGGCCTCAAGTGGTTCCTGTTCGCCGCCGTTCTCTTCAATGTCTGGACCATTTGCATACCCTGGGATCAGGCAATACCCACAAGAGGTGACTAATCCTTCGATCTGGTCTAGCCATAGATTTGGCAGGGCGTTTATTCATTTCTTATGTTATTTTTCAGTTGTAAACTGTTGCATGCTGGTGGCCTATTTGGCCCTAACGGCCCTGATGCACATCGGGCGACGCTCGGAGCAGCCTTCACTGAGACGTTTCCATCTAACATTCCTGACGATTATGCCGCGGGCTCTTTGGTTCCTGTCCGTGCTCCACTTTGCCGCCTATGTGATGCTGCAGCCCAGCTTCTCTCCAAGGTAAAGGCACCCTTAAATAAGTACTGAAAGGTATCTGGAAGTCTAAAATATCCTTTCTAGGGATGTACTGGGCTGGGCCATCTTGCTAAACTTCCTGATCTATGTGACGCTGCCGCTTCCTCTGATTTTCCTTGGTCTGGTGATTGGCTTCTGCACGTACTTCAATTGCCTGAGCCTCCCCGTTGGCTTCTCTCGTCCTGATCCTCTCATCTCGGATCAGGCGGCGGCCAATGCAGTTCTGATAGCCACCGCCGCCTTGATCGGTCTACTGTATTACTTTATGGGCGAGGCCAAGCAGAAGCGAGCCTTTTTGGAGGCCAAAAAGAGTCTGGAGGTGAAAATGGTCATCGAGGAACAGTCCGCCGAACAGGTGTGCATTTTTTGTATAGCATATCGTTGGATAAGGATTAATGTTTCTTGCTTTCTATGATTAGGAACGTTTACTGTTGTCTGTGCTGCCCAAGCATGTGGCTATCAAAATGCGCGAGGACCTGGGCTCATCCAGTTCGGAGGCATTCAAAAAGATATACATGAGTCGACACGAGAATGTGAGGTAAGTTTGGGATCTAAGAAGAGTGTTTAATCTACAAGAAATGGTAGTAAGATGAGCATTTGTCATAGATCTAATGATCCCAGTTTGTTTCTTTGAAATATAACGAGTAACGAGTCTTCCATTCGTTCCTTCTCTCAGTCGAGTGTCAAACCATGAGTTAGTCTCATTTAGACCTCATCGCAATGGTAAAACCTCTGAATGAAACCCACTCTACTTCATGGCTCTTTCCAACAAAATTGCTTTCCATATACCGCAGTTCCTTTACTCGTTATTTACATTCCTTTGCTTCAAATCACAATCAACTCTGTTTATTCCCAGCGGAAACATTTTCCAAAGTAAATGTGGCCCTATTTCCATATCCTACTTTCACTCAGTGCTGCATATTTGTAGGTGTTAATACTTAAATTAAATTCTATTGCATTGCCACTTGTTTAACCATTACACACTCTCTCTCTCGTTCTCCCACTCTCCCCACTGCTTTCTTTTTTTACGAATAAGCATACTATATGCGGATATAGTGGGCTTTACCGCCATCTCCTCGACATATAGCGCTCAAGACTTGGTTAAAATGCTTAACGAGCTCTTCGCACGCTTCGATAGGCTCGCCGAGGTAACAATTTCCATGCTGTATTTTTCTATCCTACTCGTCGTACATTTCTTTGTTGGTTTTCCATGTTTTTTTCGGAACTTTTTGTTTTTTCGTTATTCTTTTCTGTTATGTTTTCAGCTGTTCATTCACCTGACTTTTGAGGGGGCATTACATTAGAAGAAGCTCCTCTCCTCTAATGATGATTATGATGTTTAAGATAAAACCATCTAGAGAATTTTTCATTTCCCCTTTTCGAGTGTGTGTGTTTTGCCCTCCCCCCTCCCCCACTTTAATTTGAATTCTTGTTACGTTTTCTCTGGCTGTCTTTTCATTTTTGGTTTTTTTAGGGCCACCTTTTTGGGGCTGTTGGGGGTGTGTGTCAGTGCCCCTAACTGACCAACAAAAGTTATGTCCAGTCAGGCGTGCAAAATGTTTCGAGTTGATTTTTTCTCTCATGCGAATTATTTTTTATTTGAGTTATTTTAAGGGCCCCCGAGGGGTACGTTACTGATTTTGTGTCGCTATTATTTTTAGCTTGAGTTAATTTGACTGCAATTTCGGTTTGGGGCGGGAGTGCCGGTATGTATGGGTTTTCCCTTTCACTGATTTGTGGGGGACTCCCTTTTGTTTTCACTTCATTTGTTGGCCTTTTTGTTGGGTCAAAGGAGGGGACATGGAGGTGTCTGTAAGGGGTGATATGGTTATTTGGTAAGGAATATATTTAGTTCATACTTTTTATGGGTTAACCCCTTTGTTTGGTTTCATTTTAACCATCATGATTAATTATTTTTTATTTTTAAAAGCCCCTACTTTTAATCTTTGATGCTCATTAAATCACTTGACTCTAAATCGCACTTGGATTTGCCTTTAGAAATATCAACAATTGCGCATTAAGATTCTGGGCGATTGCTATTATTGCATTAGCGGTGCCCCCGACGAGCGACCGGATCATGCGGTTATGTGTGTGCACATGGGACTCTCTATGGTGAAGGCCATCAAGTGAGTATGAGTATTCTAGTTGAGTGAGAAGCTCCCCAAAGGACAGAAGGGACGACATGCGACATGCCACAGCCATGGCAGGCAATGTCCCCAGTGCCGAGGACAGGGCGACAGGGCGACAGGGCGACAGGCGACGCCAAATCAACGTTTGTTCAATTAATAATAATTGCACTTAAGCACGCGCGCGCGCTCGCTTCCCTATTGCCTGTCGCGACTCCAGAGGCCCAGAGGCCCAGAGCCCCAGAGCCCGGAGCACATGTCCAAACGGTAGTCCGGACTAGCGTCACTAACCTGCCACATGATGATGTTGCGTGTGCCTCTACTTTACTCTACTCTACTGTCCCCTTTTTGTGTGCAGGTATGTGCAGCAGAAGGCCAATTCACCTGTTGATATGCGTGTTGGCATACACACGGGCGCTGTGCTGGCAGGGATACTCGGCCAGCGGCAATGGCAGTTTGATGTCTACTCCAAGGACGTTGAGCTGGCTAATAAAATGGAATCCAGCGGCATGGCGGGGTATGTTGTAACTCTCTCACACCATCTCCCTATCTCGCATGCCACCCACTGTTGCATAATTGATAACGCGGGTCCAGGCCACACTTGTGGCAAGTGCTTATTATGATTTGACTTTCGTCACTTTGGTATGCAAATTTATGGGTTCTCCCACACTCTCCCACTGCCTGACTGGGTGCATGGATAAGTGCTCATGCAAATTGTTTTCTTTTGCTTCCCCCTTACACGCTCAGACGCGTTCACATTTCGGACAAAACTTTGGCCTTCCTCAACGGGGAGTTTGAGGTGGAGCCCGCCTTTGGCGAAAAGCGGGAGGAGCTATTGCGCATAGCCGGATTGAAGACCTTCTTCATAACCAAGGTGGTTAAGCCGGTAAGTGGAGGAGGAGCAAGAGGAGAAGGAGGAGATATATATATAACCTAATTCGTGTGTAATTCTCGCACAGTTTGCGTCGCCCTGTGCCAAGAAAATCAACGAAACGCAAGCCGAAAACTCACAACTTAGCCCCAATGGATCCACCACCGATGTCGTTTCCGGTGGCGGAGAGGACAACGATGCCACGCTGGACGATGAGGAACTGCTGGCCCAGAGTGCCACCACGAATGGCCACCAAACAGCCGAGGCAGAGGATGAGGAGGAACAGGTCAAGCTGGAGAACTTTAAGCAGCGCTTGAAAGACGAGCTCGTCACTCGAGATGGGCATGAGTAAGTCTACAGGATATATCCAGGCTAAGCATCAATTGAATGACTCTTTCTTCGAAAGGAACCTCACCAAGGACACCAACATATTCCTGCGCTTCAAGAACCCACAATTGGAGCAATCATATGCCGTGTACCGAGAGCCGTACAGCTCCCTGCCGCTGCTGGCGGCACTCCTGGTGCAGTGCATCGACGTGCTGTACTCCTACTTGGTGCTGCCCCGCTCCACGCTGCATTTCATCAATATAGCGGCGCCACTGGTGCCCATTGCCATGCTGGTGGTGATCAGCATTGCCGAGAGCTTCAGCGGCATGCTGCCCAAGTTCTTTGTGGACGTGAGCAAGCGCTTCAATGACATTACCTTCGTGCGGGAACTGGCGGCCATAATTATCGCCCTCACCATTGGCCTGAGCAATGTCATCGACATGGTTCGTTTCCGTTCGTCTCAGTCTGAGGCGTGCTCAAGTCCTTTACATTGTATTGATTTTCATCATCGAATTTCCCTTGACAGTTCTTCTTCGTCACCTTCGTGCGCACCGAGCACATTGTGAGCGAAAGCGAATTCAATGCCACGGCTGGTCTGGGTCTGGGACTGGGACTGGGTCTGGAGGCCGATGTGGATGTGGATGTGGCCGGCGCGGAGGCGGTCACCGCCGAGCACCTGCTGCCCGAATCGTTTGTGGAGCAAATGCGCGATGCAGTACCCACAGAACGTGTCCTATATCCGTCCTATTTGAGCAATTTCGGTGTCCTAATATTGATTGCGATTGCCGTGATTGCTCAGCTCACGCATCTGACTAAAATACTCCTATTATTGTCCATTGCGGGTGGGTCTATCCTCGTACTATCTAGCCTTGACATTTGTAATCTTAATATTTGATTCGTTTTCGTACAGCTTTGCATTGCTACTTCAACATATTCATCATGCAGGACCTGTATGCCTTGGAGGATGACCTGGCACATCAGCCGTAAGTGGAGGATATCTATTTTTAAGGCTGTCATTGGAGTGGAGAGATAATTACTATATATAAATAATTTAAGGGGTCTTTAGAGGCAAAAACTAAGAACTAATTGATTCAATTACTATTTTTCGTTGCCTTTTCAAGGATAAAGATCCTTTAGCACGAAATATTAATAATCCTTTTATTATATTTTCCCAGCATCATATCCTCACGATACTGTGCCTCTGGTCTTCTGCTGGTGGCAGCCCTAGCTCTGAGCACCTTGGCCCGACATGTAAGTACCCATAATCCCACATAATGCTTGACTTAAACCTAATGGAACTATCTTTTCCAGATGGATCACGAGGATCGGGTGATCTTCAAATGGAAAACCGAGGTGGCGGAACAGAAAGAGACCGCCAACGATATGCGGCAGCGTAACGAGGCCTTGGTGTACAATGTTTTACCCGTTCATGTTGCTGAACATTTCATGAAGAATACCAAGCGATCGCATGATGATCTCTACTCTCAGAGCTATTCCGAGGTGGGAGTATTATTTGCCAGCATGCCAAACTTTTCAGGTAAACATGGGAAACACTGAACTACTACAATATTTCTAAAATGATTAAAATGCTCTTTTTGAACAGATTTCTATTCGGAGGAAACCGTGAATAATCAGGGTCTGGAGTGTCTACGTTTTCTAAATGAAGTTATCTCTGATTTTGATGCGGTATGCGCTACAGAACTTAAAATTGAACCAAACCTGTTCCAATTCGACTTCTTTTTGTTTAAGTTATTGGAACTGCCACAGTTCCAGGATATCATCAAAATCAAGACGATTGGCTCGACTTATATGGCCGCCAGTGGCATAAATCTTCAGCGGAATCTTCGCTCGGATGCTTCCATCACCGAACGCTGGGCCCAGTTGGCCGTGCTCGTCGAATTCGCATTGGAACTCACGCACACTCTGCAAGGCATTAACGAGCAGTCCTTCAATCACTTTGTCCTCAAGATGGGCATAAATCACGGGCCCATAACCGCTGGTGTGATCGGTGCTAGGAAGCCGCACTATGATATCTGGGGCAATACGGTGAATGTGGCATCCCGCATGGAGAGCACTGGCAAGGCCGGCGCCATTCAGGTCACCGAGGAAACGTGCAACATTCTCCAGAAGTTTGGCTATACATTTCAGCAACGTGGCCTGGTGTCTGTCAAGGGCAAGGGCCAATTGATGACCTACTATTTGCAGGTGCGCCTTCTGAGTCCCTCCATAGAAGATCTATTAATATAATACATATGATGTAAATCTTTCGCAGGGCAAGTCTAAGCCTTGTGCAGAGCCTGAAGCCACTCCGGCAGCCATTGAGCTACATGATACTCTGGATTCCACCACGGAGCTGGACATCTCGGACATCAAGACGCCCCTGCTCAAGCTGAAGGGCCAGGAGGCGCCAGCGGCGGGGGAGAGTGAACAGAGTGGGCCGGCGCCCAGTCTTGGCAATGGCAGTGTCGGCCAAGTGGGAGAATCTCAATCTTTATTGGAATAATTTGCGACTTTTTTTCTTAGATTTATATTTTAATTTGCATTTCCATTTAGACTGTGTGCGAGTGTATCTATGAGTGTGTGCTTGTGTGCCTGTGTGAGTGTGGCTGAGTGTCTGTGTGGATTATACTGTTATACAACTGTTATTGCTATACATTTGGTTTTGCCTCCGTATTCGTGTGATATTCTATAGAAAAAACCATTCTAATTTAGTTAAAATTATAAATTTGCTTTCAAAAAGTTTGTAAACTGTGTACCTAAGAAAACAAAACGATAATGTATAACTTTTAAATATATATTTAACTATGGCTAAGTACTTTTAATTAATTGTGAATTATCTATTGTTTCAAACAACAAATTGTTATCTCATTTCCAAGGAACTGTAATATAAGTGATCCCCCACTTTGCTTAACACCAAAAAACTAATCGATGTGTAGTTGAAGTAGGAGACAACAACAACCGAATAGAATCATTTTGCATCTGAATGTGTAAAATAAACGAGTCTTGAATAGTAATTATGTATGCGCATAAACTAAACAATAGTAATATACATATGTACGAACGACTATATACTTATATGCTAAGTCCTATAGAATCCGTATCCCACCACAAACAAACTGCAACCCACAAGCAAGTCCAAATATAGTCGAACAAAATTTAATTAAATTATAAATTAGTTAATGAGAGATGTTAGTGAGAACCGATACCATAGATGGCATAGAAATCCTAGGCATGCGTACCATTAACTACGTTAACATATTTACATATATATAAAAACGCATACATACATACATACATACTATATATATAGGCATATATAGTTATATACAAACTATTATATATAGCATCGCATGCTTATTAGAACATTTCAACGAATTAGCAAAGGAAGCAAACAACAAACGAACTTACATAGCAAACAAATCGAATAGAAAGCGAATAGAAACTACTATACAAGTGTAAAACGTTTTCAAATTGATCTAAAAATTGGTATCTAAGTATCTATTTGTCATGTCCATGTCCCCCATTAATTTCCATTTTGTTTAATGGCTAAAAGCAGGACAATCAATTAAGGAAAACAGCAGCATTGGTGATTGGATTATAGCTTTTCCAAAATTTTACAGTTTCTCTCTCCACTGGTTAACTAAAACACAAATAGATACAATTTGTAAAACTATAATTTCCTTAGAGAAATGCTTTAACTTAAGGCCATACCATACCATACCATACCTGTTAGATGTTGTGTTTTTAGCTTTTAAAACATTCAACAAAAACTAAGCATTTGCAATTTTTTATAATTTTCGAAAAGAAAACTAAAATGAACTAAAAGAATTAAAAAAAAAAAAACAACATACCAAACAATTAGAACATTATAGTAAAAAATAAATAAATAACAACTAAGCCAAAACTTTTTCTCTATGGGGATTCAATGGTTCTATGGCTTCAAATTTGCGCGCGCATGAACACGGAACTAGTTTCAATAAACATACAGGCTAGTGGAAACGTTAAAATTTACCACATTTGCCAGCCCTCGCATGTTTTCGAATTGCGGGATTTTTCGAGGGATTTTTCTCTGCCACAATGTCCTTTTTCAGCTCAACAATTTCCCTTACATTCAATACTCACTTACCTTACGTTTTATGTTGCTGGCAACATTTATTTTTATGGGCCAGACTCATGTGCCGTAAAATCGTGCAGCACTGTTCCTCAACATTGCGCGTATTGAGCAACATTTTGCATACCCTGTAAAATGGATGTTATAGAACTGAGAAAATGTTTGTCATCTAATGCATCAATATAGGCAAAAACTAGTCAGTCTCTGTTTTAAAGGTAATTCAACTATATTTTAAAGGTAGTGGTCTTCTAGCAGAAACCAAGAATGGGTATCGGGATCGAGATTTTTTTACAAGACCCTAACCATATGCATGAATACGTCTAAAACATATCAATTTGAGATAATTTCGTTTTAAAACAGCTTGGAAAAACAGTTTCCTTATATATATTAACGAAATAGGGTATACCTGTGCCCAAACTCCGGTTGACGTGACATTTCATACTCACTTTCGTTGCCACTGTTTTTTTGTTGACCTTTTTCGTTGAAACCTTGTTTTAGACACAATCCAAAAGAAGGTATTTCAAATTATGTGTTTAGTGCTGAATGTCCTAGCTAGCTAAACTAAACTAAATAAACAAAAAACTAAACTAAACTTAATATACAAGGAATATGAGGACAGAGGTAGATTAACCCATTGTCGACCAGTGGGGTACTCTCCACGAAAAATATGAATTCTGAAGAATTTTAGCCCAGTTTAGGTGAACGATATCGTAGGGTTTTACAAGAAAAAATAATAAACAGTGTTTTTTCGCAGTTCAACTCAAATTTTTACCTGTTTAAATAGAGGGGGGTCAAGTGGGCTATGTTCGTTTTCTCATCTGTCGATTTGTACGGTATTTCTGAGAGTCGGACGGTCACACTCATAGGCTAAAAAGTGCAAAAAAACTAAAATTTCGGCGTAATTAATAGTAAAATATTTTGAGGAGTAGGTGAGTAGCGATAATGGCCGTTGTCAATGGCGACGGTGGCCCTCGAACTGTGAAAATATGCAGCAATTAAGTGCAGTGCAAGGCGAACGAACGCGCTGCTGGCCCCGTCGCTGCGACGGGAAGGCTGGCCTGGCTCTGGTTATGCTGCAAACAGCGCTGCCCACGTACGAATGAGGGTCGCCGTTGTTGTTGGTCTGGGTGTTGTTGTATTTGTTGGATTGAACGAAATGAAAATTGTGTTTACTTGGATATACTTTCCCTATCGCCCCCGCTCCGCTGCTGCAAACTGAACTGAAAACTGCAAATGAAAACCAACAAGTCCACTATCCAAACCCCAGACGGACCCACACACACACAAGAGAGATGTCTCTGAAGCCAAAAATAGTGGAATTTGTTGATGTTTGGCCGCGCTTGCGCTGCATAGCAGAATCGGTGATAACATTGAGCAAAGTGGAACGAGCCGTATGGAATACGAGTTTTAGGTATGTAAGTGTGCACGGGTGACGCTGCGGCATGAGTTGCCAAAAACTGAAATTGCTAAAAATTGCCCCATCTAATATACACACACAAACACTAACGCTAACGATTCGACACATATAGCGATGTATATACGTTATGCGTGGCGCAGCCGGAACCGATGGCCGATCGTCTGTACACCGAGACAAAGCATTTCCTCGAGAAGCATGTTCAGGAGATGCTCGCCCAGAAGGTGCTCTCGGAAACGGATGCAGCGAACGCGAATAAATCCCTCAGCAAGCCGGATTTGCTGCAACGCTACTACACCACCTGGATGGAGTATAGCCAGGGCATCAAGTATCTGCATCAGTTGTACATGTAAGTCCCCAGAGAGTCACCTTCCTGACCGGCCTTCCTCATTTGTGTGCTTCTTCCTTTGCAGCTATCTGAACCAGCAGCACATCAAGAAACAAAAGATCACCGACACGGAATCGTTCTACGGCAATGTGTCGGGCGATGCAGCAGAACAGATGGAAATTGGCGAGCTTGGTCTTGATATATGGCGACTTTATATGGTCGAGTATCTGGCCACGGAGCTGGTGCGACACGTGCTCGAAGGCATTGCCGCGGATCGGGCCAGCAATGGGACCCTCGACCATCATCGTGTGCAGATCATCAACGGTGTCATCCACAGTTTTGTTGAAGTGCAGGACTACAAGAAGAGCGGCTCGCTAAAACTCTACCAGGATCTGTTCGAGGCCCCCATGCTTGAGGCCAGCGGCGCCTACTACACAGACGAGGCCAACAAGCTGCTGCAGCGATGCACCGTCTCCCAGTACATGCAGGAGGTGATCCGAATACTGGAGTACGAAAGCAGACGAGCACAAAAGTTCCTCCATGTGAGCTCGCTGGCCAAACTGCGGAAACAATGCGAAGAGAAGTTTATCAACGATCGTTTGGGCTTCATCTACTCGGAGTGCCGCGAGATGGTGTCCGAGGAGCGGCGGCAGGATCTGCGGAATATGTACATCGTGCTGAAGCCCATACCCGACCATCTGAAGTCCGAGCTCATACAAACCTTCCTCGAGCACATCAAGAACGAGGGCCTGGAGACGGTCTCCGCGCTTAAGGGCGAGAACATACACATCTCCTTCGTTGAGAATATGCTGAAGGTGCATCAGAAGTATCAAGAACTCATCGGCGACGTTTTCGAGAACGATTCACTGTTCCTCAGCGCCCTCGACAAGGCCTGCGCCAGTGTAATCAATCGTCGACCCAGTGAGCGGGTGCCATGTCGCAGTGCCGAGTATGTGGCTCGCTACTGTGATACTCTGCTAAAGAAATCGAAGACCTGCGAGGCGGAAATCGATCAGAAGCTCACCAACAACATCACCATATTCAAGTACATCGAGGACAAGGATGTCTATCAAAAGTTCTACAGTCGATTGCTAGCCAAGCGATTGATACACGAGCAGAGCCAGAGTATGGATGCGGAGGAGGGCATGATCAACCGATTAAAGGTATAATTTTTTGTCTAGTCATTAATATAGCGCTAGTGCGTTCCTCAGCACATTTTTTAGCACGCTTTAATTGAGCGTGACGACGCAAAAGCAGAAAAGCAAACTGTAATCAACAGCCCAAGCTTGATAACGAAAGACCTGACCTTTCGTAATTCACATAATTGAACCATTCAATTAAAACGATAAAGCTCGGGGAGATCTTTGTGATAAAGCGAATCAGTTTGATATGGTTTCATGGCAGTAATCATTGTTTACCTTACCCCCACTAATCCATGGTTATCATTGTATTTTCACAGCAAGCCTGCGGCTACGAATTCACCAATAAGCTGCATCGCATGTTTACGGACATTTCAGTATCAACAGATCTGAACAATAAGTTCAACACTCACCTAAAGGATACCAATGTCGAGCTGGGCAAGTCGTTCATATTTATTTATGATTGGATGTATAATTAAATGTGTTCCTATTTCTATTCGTATAGGAATCAATCTGTCGATTAAGGTCCTGCAGGCTGGCGCTTGGCCTTTGGGCTCTACGCAGGTTATACCATTTGCAGTGCCACAGGAGTTTGAAAAATCAATTAAAATGGTACGTGTTGCGGGTGTGATTCGAAATGAGAGAGGGGTGACATATTCTTGGAATGAAAATCAAAGATGCTTCGAGCAGCTAAATCGATTTTTCTCAATTGTTTTCGAGCATTGAGTAAACATTACTTGTAGATACTGATAACTGATCCATGTGTGCCTTGTGTCTGTTTACAGTTTGAGGACTATTATCATAAATTATTTAGTGGCCGTAAGCTAACGTGGCTTCATCACATGTGCCATGGCGAGCTGAAGCTGAGTCATTTAAAGAAATCCTATATTGTCACAATGCAAACGTATCAAATGGCGATAATTTTACTGTTCGAGACATGCGACAGCCTCAGTTGTCGGGAGATACAGAACACGCTGCAGCTGAATGATGAGACGTTTCAGAAGCATATGCAGCCAATGATTGAGTCAAAGCTGTTGAATGCCAGCTCAGAGAATCTCGCCGGGGAGACACGTATCGACTTGAATATGGATTATACAAATAAGCGTACGAAGTTTAAGATAAGCTCGGCCCTACAAAAGGAAACGCCCCAGGAGGTGAGTGATCTCTTGTGTGCATAGATAAACGTATATTTAAAGCGGAATTCGTTTTCGATAGGTGGAGCACACGATTAACTCGGTGGATGAGGATCGCAAGCTGTTCCTGCAGGCAGCTATTGTGAGAATTATGAAGGCCCGCAAAGTGTTGAAGCATAATGCGTTAATACAAGAGGTATGTCTTGATGATGTCTTACAATCGACAGATCCTAATTCGAAATTTCTAAAACAGGTCCTGTCATTATCAAAAGTCAGCTTTACGCCCAATATTGCAATGATCAAAAAGTGCGTGGAATCGTTAATTGATAAACAATATATTGAGAGAACTGCTAATTCGGGGGATGAATATAGTTACATGGCCTAGGACAGCTCTTTGGCGTTTAATCTGGAGATTATTTAATCCTAAAAAAACTAATAAAATCCCGAAACTCCAAAACACACAACACACACACAAACACGCAGAGAGGATGTAAACCCAAACGTTATACTTTGTCTATCCGTGCTCAAAAATAGACAAGAATGTCAGCTAACTATATACCGATAATTTTGTCTGATTAAAATATACCGAAACAAAAAAGAAAAGAACGGATGAAATGGAATGCTGTGTAGGTGATGCAATTACATTTTTTTGTTTTATGATCTTAGCTTATCGGAATGATGAAGAATGTGGGGCGATCGATCGATGATGTTACTGATACTTTTAATTTAGTTTAGTTAGTTGCCTCGTTTTGATTTAATGCGTGTGTTTTATATTATTGTAGATATATCCCATTTTGTGTATTGTATATTTATCTGGTTTTATGCGCACACGCACAAAGCAGAACAAAAATATGAAAAATTGTATAATAAAAACCGAAAACAGATTTGCGAAAATACCATGTCTGTATATGTATGCGAAATATATCTTCCTTACACACACGTGAGTTCCGATTCCAAAGTGTTCCATTTTCTAGGCAGGACTGCAGCACACAAAACACACACAGAGAGGGAAATGGACGAGAGCATAAAATATATTGTATTCTAGCATTACCAAGAAATATATTTGTAAATGAATTTAAATGTTTAAATTACTTCGAATAGTATACACAGTTCGGGTTTGCACTAATATTTCGATTAAAACACTTGTTATTTATTTTCTGTTCATTGCTATTCTCTTTATTTCATTTCATTAACCCTCATATACAATTGTTAATTATTGGTATATTAAAAATTCTTCAGTTTCTTGTTAAAAAATTATATATTACTCTGTTCTGTTTGCGGCTATCTGTGTGTGTTTCTGTTTGTATTTGTATGGCATATGTTTTCCAGTGTGTTGGTTTTGGTTTTGTGAGCTTTTATTGTAATTTGTCATTTGAAATTATGTCTGAATCCTACATTAAATTATTTATTTTGTTTATTTGAAGGCTTAGGTCAGAAGTTGTTTCCTTTTTTTTTTTTTTGAGAAGAATTCGTGAGTTTAGTTTCATAGAAGAATGAAAAAATAGATTTTAATTGAGTGAATATTATTGTTTTATTTGCCTTTCCTTTTGGTGGAATATAATTTACTTGCCGTTTTTTTAGGATTTTATTAGGTTTTTCGTTTCTCATTAATCTTGTAGTTATTTTATTCAGATATTCGTATTAATTTTGTAATTTTGTCTTCACAAAATGATCAATTTAATATATATCTATATAAAAAGTACACAAGGGCTTTTTTCGTTTTGGTTTTCAATCATTTTATTCATTTTCATGCTACTTGTCTAAAAAATATATTCAATAATATTAATTCAAATAATTGTACATATATTATAATAATAATAAATACCAACTTTCTATAGCATATAATATAATTCGTTAATAATACTTTCAACTTGCTCTGGGTGGGGGGAGGCGATAGGGGCAGGGGCCTCCTCCTCCTCCTCCTGCTCGTAAAATGCTGCCTAACTTCAATCTCATCTCCAGCGTTGGCTTATCAGTGAGTGTTAATAAAAAATATGTTATCTCCCATACAATATATATATCATTCTGTTTAATATTTAATGACTAGTAAACGTTTACAGTTTTGTGGTTGTTATTGCAGTTTATTCTCCCAAACTTTCCGTCTATATTATCGCTCAAAAATTGAGAAATGCTCTCTGGTAAAATCGTGTTGAGCATTTTATGGATTGATTTTCCATCATATTCATTATCGAATTTTCTTCGTTTTTTTTTTTGTTTTGTTTTGTTTTTATTATCAAACATTCTTTGAAATGTGGAGGGCGTAACTTCATTCTTTTATAATTTTTTTTTTGTTTATTTTGGAAATTAAATATGTATTATCTTTACTTGACTTTGGATGTGGATTTCCTACAGCTTGACTTGTTGGGTAAGGATTATTCGCGGTTTTTGGACTCTCGTGAATTGCTTTCGTTACGGAACGATACGGAACTGCTATATAATTGCACTTTGCCCATCCGTTTTTTCAAATACTATTTCGCCCATATCCTGGCCAACAATCAACAAGATCATTTAATAAACCACCCATCAGCATCATGATATACGAAGCCTAAAACTTATTTCTCAGCTACACAAAAAGGGCTTGAAGTATCAAACATCATCATCAATAAAGTAAGTAATGCTGCCTGGAACCCTAAACGGTTCAGTTTTACATAGTTCAAACTATATGTATATAGCGCTCATACTCATACTCAAACTCGTACTCGTATTCGTACATATAGATACGATACGTATATATATATAAATTCAGTGCTTTTATAAGTTGTGTAAATCTCTGTCTGCGTTTTCTTAGCCCATCCATCGTTGCGTGCATTCTGCGTTTTACGGCCAAGGAATAATTGCATTAATTGTGTGGGTTTTGGCAAGTTCAAGGTCTGGGGGGAGCATGAAAGATCACACATATGTACGTATATATATGTATACTCATGGCAGTGTGATCCATCTAACCGTCTGGTGTGTGTCTGTGATTGGTGAGAGAGTGCGGAATATCATTTTCATATGTTTTTCATTACATTTTTCATTGTGTGTTCCATAATATTTTGTCGTTTTTGTTTTTGTTTTACAATTTCTTTTGTTTTACTCTTTTTCATTTTTTTTCAGTCTTTACGATTCACGGCTTTTGTGCATTTGAATTATTCAGTTTTTACTCATTACTATATGACCGATATATACGATGCTGCGATGTGTATACAAATTGCTTCAATTTAATGTTCAAGGTGAACGAACAGGCGAACACGTGAGAGCGTGAGAAAGATTTTTGTTTCTGATCTGATCGGATGAGAGCAGGTGAGTGATCGAGCCGAGCCGAGCCGAGCCGTGGAGTACAATAAAGTTGTGGAATACATAGATACGACTCTCTCGGGTGCTCCCTAAACTCCATTTACATATGTGAAAGTGCAGGGTTATTATCATCTTCTTCGATTCTATATGGTGGTATGGTATGCGTGTATATAAGACATATCCAAAGGGTGGCTTGGCAAAGGGGCAGTGTCTGGGATCTCTCTATAAAATGCAGCTTCCTTCTTCCTATTGATCCAGCGAGGCTGTTTTCGTGCGCTTCCAAAGCGTTTTGAAGAGACCTTTCTTCTTGGGTTTAGGATTGGTGGTGGCCGTCACACCCGCAGCGCCATTATCTTTTCGACTATTGGTGTTGTCCTTTTTCTTGTTTGAACCTAAACACAAATATATAGATATGGAATATGGAATACAGGACAACTGCATTATGGCTTCTTACTGATCGTCTCAAATTCATAGGCGTGCTTGCTGTTGCTGTCATCCATGGACTGATCGCAGTAAGCCTTGTGCTTCCGGTCCTTGTTGTGCTCTGGCCAGGATTAAAGACAAATTTTTATATAGAATCGGATTGTTAGCTTCAACTCCTGCCACCCACTTTTCTTGGTTATCAGCAAGCTGGTCACACGCCGTAGGGCCTCACGCGGTGATTTGTTCAAAAAGGAAGGCGTCAGATTCGGTGGCAACGTGAGCGGTTTTCGTGATTGTCCTGTACCAGACATGCCCGCGGGATTGTCCCACACTCGGACCGAGGCCAAGCGGTCAATATTCTCCGTTGATGCTGGACGCATGCCACGTTGCTTGGGATACCAGCCGCGTGCCGGTGCGCCAGTCATGCGCAGCATTTCATTGGAGGCCAAGGCATGATTGATCGAACGCTGGCGACAAATTTGGGCAGTGCCGTAATTGCCGCCTAGATGGGATTGAAATTGATAGATAGCTGCATATGCATTCTAATGGATGCACTCACCTCCAATCCCCAATATGGATGTGCCCATATTGATGCTGTTCGATGTGCTCGATCTGGGTGCTGTACGACAGCCACTCGCTGGAAGGGGTTCATTTTGGCGACGATATGGCGTACGTGGTATGTCACAGCTGCATTGGGGAGAAGGGAAATGGCATTCAATCATCATTAAATCAACTCTGGTGCAGCAATCACTCACCCTCTGGCAAAGATTGGCGTTTCAGGAAGACTACATGAGGTTTGCAGGCGATGCTCCTCGCGCGGCGACTGCTTCAGGCTGCGCTTGGTGCCATAATTGATGTACCTGCGTTGATACGAACCCGATCCCCCATCTCCGCACGAGCTCATGGTACCCATGACCGGGGGTGGGGGCAGCGGTGGCATCTGGCCCAGACCAGTGGGTGTGGTTATGCCGCTGCCACTGCTGTAGTGGCCAAAGAGCTTGGGGGATCGCTTTCGATACTGGGAGTCGATGCTCCAGGACTTCATCGTATTGGCCGAATGACCACCGCCGGCACGATGCGGTGGCACCATCGGTGGTCCGGGCAGACCCTCAATAAAGCTGGTCGACTGATGGGCTGGAGCCGGCGGCGGTGGCAGCTCGTCGTTGAAGTGACGCACTGCTGCAACGTTGTCACGACTTCGTCGCGTATGGCTATTACTGTGCACAGCCGCTCCCGAGGCGGTGGCATGCACCTCCACCACGGTGGTGCCGCGATTCGGTGGCGTGGCATTCGAGGCCGTTGGAAGTTCCAGCTGCTTGCGCTGCTCCACCGGAGACGGCGGCAACGGGGCATCGTAGTCAAAGAGATCCGGATTGGAGCTGGGCGGCGACGGTGGCAGCGGGCCAAATGCCGGTATCTGCGACAGCAGCATCTCCTTGGCACTCTCCGACTTGTGCACGCCGGGACGAAATTCGAGTATACGCTTGGCATGGAGCTCTGCTGCAGCCGCGGCCGAGGCAGCAGCAGCAGCTGCCCCTGCAGCAGGTGGCTGCTGACCCACAATGGGTATATCGCCACGGAGCAGGGCGCTAATGTTGTGCTCGATCTGCTTGAGAGGAGCACAGCCGTAACTGAAGTCGGACAACTCTTCGTCCTCCTCCAGAGTGGGGGCCAGATCTGTGTGTGGTGTGGTGGCATTCGAAACC